CCTGCCTCCATGTGACTGATACTCACATCACATGGCTATTGTTGACACCTAATTAACACCTATTGTTAACAGGGGGTGGAGTAATACTGGCAATAGCAGCGCTGTAGGAGGGGGACAACTGAAAACGGAGACCTCCACCTCTGTTTAATGATGGACGGTCTTTCTTCACAAAAGAAAAGAAAGCTTCATAAAAAAGTATTTCTCTTATTATTATTCATTTCTGCTCAGCTGGAAGTTGTATTTTTGTTGTGTTTTAAGCTGTCCCCTGTCTCTCTCACAGTGGAGATCAGTACAAGACAAGGGAAGGAAGCAGAAAGGAAAAGGCAGATACAGAAAAATGGATGTTTGGACATTTTTTTGACTTAAATTTGTTGGGTGCTTGATGCTTTTCTGTTGATAAACACGGCAGGGATAGGCCTCCTGATAAAAAGGATTTCTCTATCAGCCAGTCACGGATGATTGAACCCTGAAGCCCTTGGCTCACTAATGTCAGAGTGTGAAGCTCAGATAGTTCCAGCCTTCATTACAGAGATGTGCAGTGCTCCCGTCAAACACACCTGTCATGGTGTGGGGGCTTCTTTTAAACAGTTTTTTTTTAATTATTTTATTTTACAAATTGAATCTTTAGATGAGCTGGTTTGTAAAGCCTCCTCCACCCCTGGTATATCCACACATGCGTGGCTATATGAAGTGTTTTTGCCTCAGAAATGGGCTTATAAAGCAGGTCTTCAGCAGAAAACAGATGTTATCGGTGGGATTCAGCCGTACGGTTTGTATTTCTGTGTATAAATGTGTCAAGACAGCAGCAGCCCTGTCTCCATTATGTTCCCTCTGTCCCGTTGATTGTGTGATAACACTAAATCTCATCCACTCAGTCATATATATTGCTTTTTTGTGGGGCTGGAGGGGAGTTATACGAGCATTCTGGGTGCTGTTGATGAAAAGCTTGTCTGTGGGTAGGATATTAATGAATTTTGGTGTGGCCCAGTGCAGCCTCCCTCTTTGGGCTTCTATATTGAAAATCATTCATCACACACCCTCAGGTTGTCGTTTTCCTTTTTCTTTTTCCTCAGCAACACCAAACAGAATAAATTAATTCGGATGGAGAATGTAATCCCTCAATATTGCTGATTTTATGCGAGTGTTTGACAAAGAAATAAGTGGAATTAGTAAAATCCTGCAGCTTTAATCTTTCTGTCTGAGAAGCTAAATGTTTGCTTTGTTTTCTTTGTGGCCATTACTGACCCCCCCCCCCCCCCTTTTTTTTTTCTTTATGTAACTGTTGCTGGTGCAGCTCTGCTGACGTGTCGACCTGATGAGTTTCAGTGTGGTGACGGTTCGTGCATCCACGGTACCAAACAGTGTAACAAGGTCCACGACTGTCCCGACCACAGCGACGAGTCTGGCTGCGTCAATGGTGGGTGTCAGAACATTTCCTCCCTCCTGGACTCATCTTCAGTTTCTGCCTTTGTTGAATATTTATTAAAAACACTAAACAACCAACTTGTATTTGTAATATTTACTCAGTAAGTATCGAGGGTAATGTAGATTTTTAGTTAAAGGACCTATGTTTAGTGGGAAGTGGGATATGTTCACTGGTATCTTTATTTTAACTTGATGTTTAAAATAATATAAGACCCAAATCTTGAAGGGATATTTCTTCCATTTTGAGTTGGGGTTTTCTAGAAAAGACAATTTGCTGACAGCTTTTTGATGGATCTGAGTTTAAGTTTGTTGAGAAAGTCTTCAAGTTCAACAGAACTGTTGAGAGAACGCTGAAACCAAGGCTGGGTCTCAGTTCACGGGTTGCAGCCGACGTCGGCCGAATTCAATGTGCCGTCAGCAATTTAAGCAGAAAAACAAAGATGGCAACGAGGTTTTTTTTCCTACCGCAGTTTGGAATTTTATCACAGATCAAAGAATGTAATTTACTAACTTGGCTGAAGAATGTGATGCAATGTGATGTTAAATAAAATGCTGATACAAATACTGATACTGAAGCTAAACCCAAATTATTAAGGTGTTTTATTTATTTTGTTGTAATGTTTTTGTAATGAGGAGCAGTGCGGTTTTCGTCCTGGGCGTGGAACACTGGACCAGCTCTAAACCCTCAGCAAGGTCCTGGAGGGTGCATGGGAGTTCGCCCAACCKGTCTACATGTGTTTTGTGGACTTGGAGAAGGCGTTCGACCGTGTCCCAAGGGGGGCCTTGTG